AGGTGCTCCAGGCGGGAGGGCCCTCCCACGTGGCACAGGGTCTCAGGGGTTATGGTGCGCAGGAGGTGGGGGTCTGTGGGAGAGAAGGGGAGTAGGCATCAGAGACTGCCCTGGGCACCAGCTCTCCCCTGGCCCACCTCTGCAGGGTCTCCTGATTCCTACCCTCCTGGGCCAAGCCTGGGAGCTGCCCTCCCACCAACCCCATGTGGGAGGAGGGTTGGGCAGCCTAGAGGCCTGGGCAGGGAGGCGAGCCTCGGTCCAGGGGGTGGGCAGCCTTTTGCCCCATTTTAGCCTGTTCCTTCCCCTGGCTGGGCTGGGAAGCTGCTCCCCGGGGCAGGTCCCACATCCCCAGATTCTCCGAAGCTCCTCTCAGGGCTGATCCTCCCCTGGGCCTCAGGAAGGAGTCTCCTGAGACCCCCAGTGCAGTCCAGTGGCAGCACCCTCCCTCCGGCAGCCCCTCTACCAGGCTCCCAGGGGCCAGCCCCCCAGCCTGAGGGGGGAGGCCCCGCTCCCTTTGTTCCCCAGGAGGCATTCCAGAGATGGTTTTGGTAAGATAAACAGAACTCTTGACCCCTCTCTGGCTGTGGGGAGACTGCTGCCCGTGATCCTTCTGCTCTTGGCCACCTGGGGGCCACAGCACCCCTGAGCACCCCCCAAGTAGAGGCAGGCCTGGCAGCTGGTGAGGCCTGTGCTGCCGCCCGGGCCTTCCCCAGCCGTCCACTTACCCCCGAAGGGCGCATCCATGATGGCGCCGGCAGGCAGGCGGGTGGCATCGCCGGNGGCCAGGCTCCCCACCCGCCAGTGGGGAAACAATAGCCAGCGCTGGGAGTATTTGACCAGCGATAATCTGGGCCTGTTGGGCAGCGAGGGCCCCCTCCCTCCCGTGCTCCCTCCCTCCGATAAGGCCGCCCCAACCACTTGCCCAAACCCCAGAGGGGGAGGGCGTGCCCGCTGGACTCACCATTCACCTGCTGGGGGGAATAGGCCTCGGAGCCCGAGTCTGGGGGAGAGTCAGGCAGCGTGCTGCGGGAGAGGGGGGGGGCTGTTGGGAGGGCAGCTGAGACGCTGCCTTCAGGCTGAGCAGCTCCTCTGTGGGGCAGCGCTCCAGGCACCCCAGAGCTGGAGGCATCGAGGTCTCCTCACTCCCACCAGTGGGGCACTTCGCTGTGCCAGTCACCTTGGGGTGCCTGGCAGTTGTTGGGGAAGCCCTGGGCTCCTGCCCAGCATCCCCTCAGACCTGCTGGGCACTTGGGGGCCAGTAACCAGGGTCC